GAAAACTGAGCATGGCCACAGCATGTGTAGCCTTTCGGGTAGCATGGAAAAGGGCCAGGTAGTGAGAAGGTTTGTATGCCAGCCAAAGGTTAGCTTCTACCCTAAAGACAGAGGAGCCAGTGAGTGGCAGAGCTCTGTCAGGTGTGTGCTAAGCTTGTGTTGTGGAGGGCTACAGGCAGGGGCGTGGTCTGGTTGCTAGGGCAGGATTCCAGTGGCAGATAATAAGGACCCGGATTAGGACAGCAAGAACAGAGGCCTGATCCAAGGGTCATTTCTAAGAAATGTGAGCTCTGAGGAGAGGAGGCAGAGTAGACTGGTGGCTCTATTTACTAAAGTCTAAAGAAATATGAAGGCAAAACCAGCAAGTACTTTCTCTCAGAGGCTAGGGATAGAGGGAAGAAGGGAAAATTTAGTTTGGAATATATTACATGTGAGATGTCCCAAATTTATGTTTGTAAATGTGACTTTGGCACTTGGAAGCAAGGTTGGAAGAGAGGTGGGCTTGGGATCATTAGCTTCATCGTGAACAGTAAAGCCAGGAGAATAGATGCGATCACCCTAGTGAGGAATGAAGAAATTCAGCTGTCATTTACTAGGGAAATTATGCTGAGGAAATGCTGCTTTCCCAAAAAATACTGTCATGCTGCCATCAAAGACAAGCAAGGGGACTACTGATGCTCAGTGGGGTGGCAAACCATGTCTACGGGCCAAATCCAGCCCTGCCTGTTTTTGTAGATGAAATTGTACTGGTGCCCGCCCACACATTCATTTGCATGTTGTCCAGGCCACTTCTGTGCTACAACAACAGAGAGAAGCGGTCACCACGGAGACAGCACAGCCCACAAACCCTCAACTGTATACCCTGTAGCCCTTTGCAGAAAAAATTAACCAACCCGTTTTAAAACATGGTTTTCTTTAGTAGGAAGGGCAGACTGATGGGAATATACTTATTCATTTCAGGTTTTCACAAGCTCGGCACCCAATACAGTTCTTTCATATCAGAGACCACCCGCCCCAGCAGTCCAGCAGCCCTTTGTTAACAAGACGTCCAGCAGCGTTCTCCAGTCCAGAAGTGCGCCCCTTCCATCCCTGCAAAACGGACCCAGCCCTCCCAGCAAGGTAAGCCTGCGGCCACTGCTCCAGTGACATGCTTTCTGGGTCCCAAAGCCCAGAGCTTTAGGCTGGGAATGACTGAAGATCAGTATTCACGGGGGAATAGCTGAAAATACCAGTGAAGACAGCCTCACAGGTAGGTCTCACTGGCCTAGGAGGTCCATGCGTGAGGAACAGCCAGGGCATGAGGAAGCTTACTGCCCAGAGCTGACATATGCTCCTCTGTGTGCCACAGCCGAGCTCACCCCCGCCACCCCAGCCGTTTGTCGTCCAGCACTCTCTGTTTGGGAGCCCAGTGCCCAAGACGAAAGACCCTCCCCGCTACGAGGAGGCCATCAAACAGACACGCACTACCCAGTCCTCTCTTCCAGAGGTAAGTGAGGCCAGTGGCTTCTATGTCATCTGTCATCCTCAAATTGAATCCCTTTTCTAAGGTAGACTTGCCCCAATAGATACTAAGTCCATGGCTAGGAGCCTTGTTTGCATTTTAAATGTTTAAATCGCATTATCCTTTACTATAAAGACCCCCACTTCCAAGCAGGTTTCAGCAGCCATGTAACCTGCAATTACTCAGAAATTCGGGGTTTGTCTTTTAACTTCTCCTTTGGGGCCGAGGGGTGAGTTGTGTTAAGGTAGATGTGATTGTTACACGGGTCCCTCTTTTTCCTGAGTAAGATCCTCCACTAAGGGAAATAGACAAGTTGATAGATTTTTCTTCGTTTTCCATAACTAAGTCAGCTCTGACCACATCTCCTAAGTTCTCGTAGATTTAGACACATGTCAATGTGTCTGAGGTTTTGAAACAACCTGATGTCAGTTTTTCCTGTGTTCCTGAAGAGCTTGTTACTAACATTTCACTAAACATTTATGTTTTGCTCACATCTAGTCTCTCGAAAAATCTTTGCATTACTTGTTTTCTAATTATAAAAAAATAGAGAAAAATGACCAATGGTCCTACCACCCAGAATCCTTTTATTAATATTCTGCTGTACATAACCCATTTTTATGATTATGAAATCTTTAAAATATATTTGGACTCATACTTCTTCATAACTCAGTCTTTTAAATGAATGTTTATTGAATAAGATATATAGTACTCACTTTGTTGTAACTTTTTTTAGTGGATGTACCTTTTTTTTATTTCCATCCCCTGAACCCTTCCTATTGGCAACCACCAGCTTGTTCTTCATATCAATGAGTCTGTTTCTGGGGGTTTTTCTTCATTTATTTTGCTTTTTTTATATTCCACATGTAAGTGGGATCATACAGTAATTGATTTCTGGAAGGTGGGAGGAGAGGATCTATCTGCACAAAGAACACATGATGTCAGGTATGAAAATCTCTACGGATTAGAAAGGACATTTCATTTTACTTTTTATTCACATTGACATGCACTATTATATTACTTTCAGGTATGCAATATACTTTTACACATTTTTATAACTGACAAATTGATCACCACAAGAATGGCAGTTTTGCAACTTTTTATACACTAGAGGCCCGGTACACGAAATTCGTGCATGGGGGTGGGGGGCGTCCCTCAGCCCCGCCTGCACCCTCTGCAATTTGCAACCCCTACACCTTTTTCTTATCTAGCTAACCTCTTCACATTTAAAAAAATTAACTGAAATACTACCTACTCCAGGAAATCCTCTTTGAACAAATCTCTACAACAACAGCGGTTCTCAACCTGTGGGTCGAACAACCCTTTCACAGGGCTTGCCTAAGACCATCCTGCATATCGGATATTTACATTATGATTCATAACAGCAACATTACAGTTATGAAGTAGCAGCGAAAATAATTTTATGGTTGGGGGGTCACAACATGAGGAACTGTTTTAAAGGGCCAGAAGGTTGAGAACCATTGCTTTACAATCTGTATTAACACATTTCGTACCGCTCAGTTTTCTCGTGTTTCGCATGCCATCTGTTAAGGACCGCTCACGAGTGTTCTCGTTTTTCACGCCCATGGAAAAAGCGAATCTAGAT